ACGGGAAGCGGCCGCGGCGGGGCCCGCAGCCCAGGAGCCGCGGCCGGAGCGGGCGGCGGTGCCCCAGGCCGCGGGCGGCGCGGGACGGCTGCGCTGCGCCGGTGAGGAGCAAGGGACGGCCTGCGGGAGCGGCGAGTGCGCGACCCGCTCGGACGGGCGCCCGCGCAGGTGCAGCGGGGCGGGAGCGAGCGGGTGCCTGCATGACTGGGCCAGGTGTACCGCCGGGGCCGGCGTGCAGGCTGTGGGGAGCCAGGGGTAGTCACCCGTGCGGGGTCACCGTGTACGCTGTGGTCTGGGGGTGTGTCAGTATAAGGAGGAGGAGAATCCGAGAGACCTCGTCCTTGAACTAGCGTTTCTGGGGAGAAAGCTCGGGAACGGGAAGGATCGTGCTGGTGTGCCTCCACCCTTCAAGTGGAAGGGTTGGGGTGCGTGATGTAATTGAAGTTTGCTGAGATCTGTGAATTAGGAGTTGAAATTGGGGTCGGGCTTGGGTGTGAACTGAGAGACTAGGAGATTAGATAGGGGAGTGTTGGTCAGGGACAGGGAGGCCTGTGTTCGGTCCCTGGCCTCAGTCTTTACCGCCCCCGGTCAGGTGCTGAGAGCTGCACCCCAGGGAACTTTTCCTTTCCTTTGCCTTCTGCCTGATTTCTCCTGCTTCAGGAGGCTGCCCGAGTTGCCTCCTGGTGGTGCTTCTGTCAAAAGGGTTGTTGGTTGAGTCTGAGAGGCCGCTGCTCTGGGGCTACAACTGGAAGCGGGAGTTCACACTGTGCTTCTTAGTTGAGGGCTGTAGTCTGAGCAGATACGATTGAGCACTCATGTGCTTTGGGTAGGGCGTGCGGGGTCAGGAGGGCAGGTAGGCAGCATTGGTATTAAAGTGGTGGCAAGGGAAGACACGTAGGAGTGTGGGAGGGGGGCAAGGTTGCCCTGCGACAGGTCCTGCCTGCTTCTAACAGGAGATTGCTGGGCAGAGACTGGCTGGTGTGGTGCCTGCTGCACCCTCGTGCTGGTGGTGGTCATGGTTCTTTCTTGGTCAGCAAAGCTGAGGACTCAGAGCTCCAGGGTCCAGGAAGAGACATTTGGACAGCTGCTTCCTTTTCTTTTTCCTCTTATTTCTGCTAACCAAGCAACTGTCACTTTGGTGTGTAGTAAAAGGCAATGCTTGACCAGAATCCCCAAGACACGGCTCACAGCACATTTCTCAGATCCTGGTTCACCACACTCCATGGCCATGATGAGGGTGAGGCTGTGAGTTTAAATCCCACCCCGTCACTTCCTAATAGTGACCTTTGGATGCTGTTTTCCTGATCAAAACAAGGCTAATAGTTGGGTGTGGTGGTACCTGCCTTTAGGAGTCAGAGGTAGAAGGACAGGGGATTCAGAACCATCACAGCCATCCATGACTATGTATTTGAGACCAGCCTAGGTTACTCAAGGCCCTACCTTATCTGCCCTATTCACCAAGTAAGGCTAATTTTACAAAAGGTATGTGGATTCTCATAAGAAAATATTCATGGGAAGCATCTATCTCAAGACCTGACACTTAACAGAAATACAGTGAGTGATTGTTCACTAATAAAAATGAGAGTGTTAAGGCCATGCTTCTACTCTGAAACTTCATAGTTCAGGGGTCTGAGCAATCGTTGACCCCATGGAGGTTTTACTGTGCAGTTAGGCTGTGGATTCTGGATTTCTGTTCACTGTACATGACAAGGTGTGCATGTTCAGCTCACTGGTAAGACTTGGTACGGCTCTTGGCCTTATTTTCTCTGCTGTCCTTCCTCCTATCATATTTGAGTTGAAGTCTTCTGTCCTTAGAGTTGGGGACAGAGCTTTTGCAGGCTTGCACAGCCAATTCAGCTTTGGCCTGTCCTCTCTGGAGACACAGGTTGGTGCTGCACTTCACAAGCAGCTTCTTCTAGTTGTAGAACTGTAGAAAGCCTGGAGCTTGCTGTTTCCTAAGCAACAGTGGGGCCTGGGGATGCAACTCAGTGGGTAGACTGCCAGCCTCTCAGGTCTATCTCTAGTATGCATAAAGCCGGGTGTAGTAGCTATAATTCCTCCACTTGGAGAGAGAAGCAAAGGGGTCTGAAATTCAAGGTCTTCTTTAGCTATATAGCAAGTTAGAGGGGAACCTGGGCTACATGAGGCCCTGGGTTTTTTGTTTGCTTGTTTTGTTTTTCTTAATCTTGCCCAAGTGAGTAGGGGCCAGCACAAGTGCATATGAAAGGTTTTGAAAACAATACATGTATTTTCTAGACCTGACCTGCAATTAACATTTCTGCTGCCGGGCGGTGGTGGCTCACGCCTTTAATCCCAGCACTTGGGAGGCAGAGGCAGGCGGATTTCTGAGTTCGAGAGTTCGAGGCTATCCTGGTCTACAGAGTGAGTTCCAGGACAGCCAGGGCTACGCAGAGAAACCCTGTCTCAAAAAAACCAAAAAAGGAAAAAAAACATTTCTGTTTTTTAACAATTATTAATAGCTGTTATTGTTAATGCTAAAATTTTGATTCTTTATGAAAACTAGGGCAGTTTCACCGAATGAGTTAAGTTATCTTGTCTTGGTCAAGATCCAGTCCTTGTTAGAAAGACATTAAAGTCATCATTTGTGGCAGCCAGGTGTTTGGGTTTTGCAGAATAATTCGGCTCAGATCTTACAACTCATCTCCTCTGTGGCAAACCCAACCTGTTTTACTATTTTGAAAAATATATGACTATAAAATGGATGCAAAACTAACAACTCAGTTTGGGGCTACCCCACGTAAGGCTGGGTGCTTCTTGCCTTAAAATTCCCTTAGAAATCTTCATGAAGAGTTGAGATCAAGGTTCTTTTCTTCATAGTCAGGTAGCTGCTGTAGAATAAATTAAAAATTCAACAGAAGTAACGTGACTAAGATAACACGCTGGCATCTCAGGCAGGTGGTAATTCTTTGCTAGTGTTTGAAGGTTCTATGTCGTGGACAGTGTTTGGTGGTGAATGCTGAGGGACCCCTCTTACCACTCCTTTCCAGTACCCCTCACCCCTTGCCCCTTCAGTTATAATCATTGATGTAAGGCATTTAGGATGTATGTGATATCGGAGATCCACACTAGTCCTACATGTGGACACACCATTTGTGTGGTAACTGCATACACTGTAGCTGAACATATAGTACATATATGTGTATATGTGACATACAAATATATGTACACAGTCATTCTTAGTATCTATGGATTTGGGTTCCAGGATTCTCCATGGATACCTACTCTGCGGGGCGTAAGTTTTATAGAATATAAGCTGCTGCAGTAGTTGTATGTAACATCTACCCATGGCGCCTGTCATATGCTTTAAGTCATCTAGATGAACGTGTTTGGTACATACACATGTAGCAACTTAGTGTGATACACATTATATCATGTGTGCCAAATGCTTTCTATATGGAGTTCAATAGAACCCCATATCCATGGATTCAGATGTGGAACCCATGGATTAGAGGACAACTTATATTTTTATATTTTTATCATTTGTATCAGCAAAGCTAGGAGTAGTTAGATACAGATTTGTGTCAGGGTAATAGCAAGACATATTACTGTCTTCCCCCCCTCTGCCTTCTCCCTCCATCTATCTCTGTCAGGTCACTGGAACAGGCCAGTATTCTATGACTATCTATTTTATTTTATTTATTTATTTTTTGTGCTCAGCTTTTTATTATCTCTTCCATACTTGTGTTAATCAAGTGTTGCCTGATTACAAACTAACATATATGTGGTTGGCTTCTGGCAAATCACAGGATTGCATCACTAAACTGGGGTGATTTTCAACAAAAACAATTTATGCCATGTAAATATATATCCTGATTTGATGGGAATGTATCTGAGTCTCGACAAGACAGGTGAAGTCATAGAGTTCATCGCTGGGACCCCCAGCAGGGAACTAAGAGCCCCGCTGATTTCAGGAATCACTTCAGGACCGATTCCAACTGGGCCAGTTACCTTGAAGGATTCAGACCTCCACTTTAGAGTTGTTGCTGTAGTCAGAAAGACTAGGTCAGAGGAAGGGAAGCCAGCTTGTCCCCTCAGTCAGTTGGGCTGGGGAAATACAGAGTTGGAAACAAACTCAACCCTGTGAAGCTGAGTACCATTCAGATTCCACCCCCGTGAAGCTGAGTACCATTAAACAAGTCATAGGACAGTTCTCTGTCATCTCTTCTCTTCCCAGAGCTGTTGTAAGGAAGGTAGCTGGGCTTGCCGGTGGATTCGGGCAATCCCAGCACTCAGTGACTAAATAAAACGAATTCTGTGTTTGAGACTAGCCTGTGCTATACGACAAGATCTTGTCTCAGACAACAGAGGACCCAGGCATGCTACTATACATTTGTAATCCCAGTACTCAAGAAGCCAAGACAGGAAGATCAGCTTGAATTAGAGGCTGCAGTAGTCTTAAACAAACAAGTAGCACCCCTACACACACACACACACACACACACACTCACACACACTCATTCACACTCTCTACACAGAGAAGGACATGGAGCAAGAAAAAAAGGAATGAAGCGAATTAGAAATAATTATGAGCAACCCAGTGCTTGGGGCTCTCAGGGGGCTTAGCCAGGATCTTCTCGGGAATATATTGCCTGGTACCCTTCAGGCTGGAGCAGCGTTTGCACTGCACGTTATATACACACACCACCCATTCTTGTAGGGCCTGTGCTTTGGAGTTAAGGTACCTAGATTGGAGCCTCAGCATTCCAAATTCCTTTTTTTTTTTTTTTTGTTTTTTTTTTTTGTTTTTCGAGACAGGGTTTCTCTGTGTAGCCCTGGCTGTCCTGGAACTCACTCTGTAGACCAGGCTGGCCTCAAACTCAGAAATCCGCCTGCCTCTGCCTCCCAAGTGCTGGGATTAAAGGCATGCGGCTGCATTCCAAATTCCAAATACCAAATTTCCATATGGTGGTTGATCAAGCCATGTGAACTACCCTATTCTCCTCAGGCAGCTAGATGACAGTGCTGGGGAAACCTACAGTGGAGTCCAACTCTATACAGAGGTAGATACACCAACTCACCTTCGATCACAAGGAGGTGGCTAAGACACAGCCAGAACTCAAATTGTCAGTTGACACTGGGA